ATAAGGTTGCTGCGAGATCTAGTGAGAATCATTCAAATTCTGCACAGAATTCTGTGTTATAAACAGCGCTGACATACGTCAGGAAACCAGAAGCGGTAACGCTAACTGTAACCGTGGTGTTGTGGTAGAAATAGTCTAATGCATTACATCATTCATTTCAGGGTTTGTACAACCTTTTGAGAGAGAATTAAGCACTTTTCAATGACTTTCAAGCATTTCGCACAACTATTTCCAGCACTTTAAAGCTCTAAAATGATCCAGTTTGAATGTTATTTTTAATGGGATGACCAAAATATACTTTGTGGTAAACAAACTCTTATGTAAAATTTAAAAAAATACATCAAATCACAATTATAACCAGTAGATGGCAGCAGAGGAGCACTTATTGGCTTATTAGTCATTCATTTCTACTTTTTCTCTATATTTTGAAATTATAAAATCTGAAATATTATAAAATATCAAATCATCAAGAAATCAGATTTTGTCAGAATTTTACACTTTTTTGTGTATGAAGAAAAGTCACAAAGTGCCTTGGAAAACACACTTTTCTTCAATTTGCTACTAAACCACACATAATCACTGAAGTTGGTCAGTTCCATATACTAGAAGAATAATGGTACATTTAATAAGAGTGGAATATATGAATTTTCTATATAAAAATTTGATTTTGCACCTGTTACTGTTGTTAATAAAAATAAATTTTGTATGCATCTTAATTCAAGGTTAGTGTTTTACTGTCAAATCTGTATAAACAATAAACAAAAGAAAAATAAACAAGAAATGAACATGTAATATTATTAGTAACTGCATTTATTAATGCAAAACAATAGTAATTTTATGATTAAATGATCTATATTTTAATACTCCCGCACACCACCCCCAGTGCTACCAAATCTGCTCCTGGTGCCACCATCTGTAGAACTTAGTGGCGCTGGTGCCACTGCTCTTAAATGTTAGTCTGGAGCCTTGCACCACAAAACCAGCTCCGATCACGGCGTCTTCCATTCACTGGATGTTGATGTTTGTAACCGCTTCAGAGTTCCTGCTGCTGGTGCGAATGCAACCAGGAAACGGCCCGCGGGAGAAATCGTTCTCTAGGAAACACCCTGCTGGCTAGTTCCTCGAACTATGCGGTGTGAAACGAGACGATAGTCTTTTATGCGGTTTGATGGTTCATTGGACAAAACTGTTTAACCGCAGAATGGCTCCATTTATCAATTGCGGTGAAGTTACAGTGATCACATATAGTGAATACACGCTTGTGGTCCTCAGATGAAGGTTTTGAAGAGGCAGCAGCGTATGATAAAGAACCGGGAATCGGCCTGCCAGAGCCGCAAGAAGAAGAAGGAGTACCTGCAGAACCTGGAGGCGCAGCTGCGGGAGGCGCAGCAGGAGAACGAGCGCCTGCGCAGAGAGAACCAAGCGCTGCGGCTCGCCGGGAGAGAGGTCAGACCCTGCAGCCGCACGCGGTGCATTTTTTTAGACATTTTTCATGCTGTCTAATTGTGTGTTGTGCCAAACAGGCTACGGAGTCTGGCAGCAACAAGAGAGCTCTGTGTGTGATGGCTCTGTTCCTCTTCATCACCTTTACCTTCAGCCCCGTCAGGTAAACGCTGCAGCTACAAACACACACTCTAAACACGAAACACATTAGCAAAGAACATACTGCTGGTGGCTTGGGTTGGAAATTGGGAACCGGTTCTTCAGTTCTTGTGCCAATGCAGGTGAAACATCAGAATAAAAAACTGTGTTTTCAGACAGCAAGCATACAGTACAACTCGTGTAGATCAGGTTAATCAAGGTAATGAAGATCTTCAGGTTTGCTTGATGGCTGTTTCACACATCCTCCGTCTGCAGTGCGTGTGCGGTTCGTATGCAGTGCAGAAGCAGCACGGACTCATTCTGCTTTCACACAGGATGCGTTTGCAGTCCGCTACTGATCTTTCCACAAACAACATTTATCCATTATTTTGATTTCAAATCCGAACGTTGTTACTGACAATGCTTTTTCTGCATTGTGATCCTTTTTTATCACAGTACAGTAATACAATCTTTCATAGACGTTCGTTTATACTCAATAGATATAAACAATGTATTATTCATGCATTTGACTTCTAGGTTTGTATAATAAGTTGCTCAAGCAAGTGGCAGCACATTTAAACACAGCATATAGCCTATACATTTCTTACGTTAAAAGTAGGCTATCACAAACATTTAAAATGAAAACTCATCACTGACAGAAACAGTCAGCTCTCGTGCCTTTTCTTTTGCATTTAAATCTTTATTACAAGCAATCCCACGGGTCTTAAAGAACTTTATTTTTCTCCTCCACAAGTGCATCTATCATGTTGCCTTGTTTATCTAAAAGTGCCACAAAGCCACGTGTTGAAACACAGTAGACTTTAATTCTATCCATTTATTGTGAAATTACTACATTTCCGTGTCAATCCATGTTCATTTTTACTGTGAACAATGCGCTGTCACTTTAATTCAGAAAAAACAGCACTTGTTTACATGAGGATGTGTTGTTAATTATGTTGAATGTCATCAAGTGAGATTTGATATATATATATATATATATATATATATATATATAAGCTTTCATAGAGGTAAGCCTATGCAGTACAGCTACAAAACTTATTACTGATGTCTACTACCTGGTAGAGAACTGATTACATAACACACCACGCCTGTAGAATGTAATATTCATACAGGCCACATATCTTGCTTGCTGCAACCATTCCAAGAAAGAATGAATGAATAAATAAATAATTAGAATATGTCCGTCCGAGTAAAAAATTATGACTATCATACGTTTTTAGCATGATTTACAGAAGACTCCCACTAAAATGTCATTCTGTGTAACTGTAGTTCATATACCAAAACATCTTGCTCGGCATATTTAGAACAAAAAACATTAGATGACATTAAAAAAAACTCTATTTAAGGCTCACAGTGAAGCCCAAAAATACTAATTAGCTGTAATTTTAAATCTTTACCAATCTTTGCCACTATCCTTCAGACTACTAGACTTTACCTGTTTTTCAGCAAGAAATTTTTAATCACTTAAAATATAATAAAATTCTGTATGATCACTTAATCTTTTATAAATTTTAATAAGTGCAGGTAAGATATGAATGTTGTTTCAGTTTTACATAATTGTATCTGTTACGCTGAATGACGATGGAACATTATTTCACCCATATTTTGACATTGTTCCAACAAAAGTTATTTGAAACATTAAAGTTCTGTTGATGTCTCTCTCCTGCAGTCTCAAAGACAGGACATTGGAAGCTGGGATTGAGGAAGCGGCTATTCCTCTGACAGGAAGACGCCTGCTGGAGTTTGAGAGATCTCAGGAGCTGAGCAGGAAACGGGCAAGCGAGAGAACCACGGAGCAGAAGACGGACAGAGGGGAGGAAGAACGCTGGAGGAAAGGAGAGCTGGACAAGAAGGCTGCAGTCTCGTATCAGTTCAGGTGAGTCTGACTGTGCAGAAGCACACACAAACACACACGTGGACCTCGTCAGTGTGTCTGAGCATGTGTTTCTTGTTCAGGAATCAGAGCGATGTGTTCAGTGATGTTAAAGACCTCCTCCTTCAGGACATAGACAGATATTTCTCGTCCTCTGACTGCAGACAGTTCAACCGCTCTGAGTCCCTCAGGTCAGTGTGTAAATACGTAATCATTATAGACCCTTTATCTCTACTTTGAGTCAGTCCATCTCATCTAATTTTCATAATTTACTTATCACTTAATCACAAAAAACTAAATCTAAAATGGTGAAGTTGATTTGATTATCCTATTTATTATTTTGTTGTTGTATTTAACTAAAATAAATCAATCATCTAATCAATTTTAAATAAACTAGTGAAAGGTTAGGACACATTTGTCTGAGTTTACTATTCTCATATTAAATTGAATAATTTTTTAATTAAATTACTGTTCTGAAATAGTGATACAAAAGAATGAGTTGGTATGTCCAAACTTTTGATCGGCAGTTAAAAAATATCAATTAATTTATTGAAGTAATGTTGAATATTGTTTAAATTCTTTCTTTCTTTCTTTCATTCATTCTTTCTTTCTTTTTTTTTTAAGGAACTATAAAGTTGATACTTCTATACCTTTCATACTTGTGTGAAGACAAACAGATTTGTTCAGAGTGCTTTACTCTCTCTCTGTTTCTCCATCAGGTTGGCAGATGAGCTGCGTGGATGGGTCCATCGTCATCAGAATAACCGGAAGTCTAATGGAAAGGCGAAGGTTGTGAAGAAAACTAAAATAGCTCAGGTGTGAAACCACAGCCGCTCTGTGACTCAGCAAGCTTTAGCAGACTCACTCAAACACAGAACCCGAATCATACAGACTCATTCAAAAACAGAACCGTATCGTACAGACTCCTCAAACACAAAACCCGTATCGTACAGACTCCTCAAACACAGAACCCGTATCGTACAGACTCCTCAAACACGGAACCCGTATCATACAGACTCCTCAAACACAGAACCTGTATCGTACAGACTCACTCAAACACAGAACCCGTATCGTACAGACTCCTCAAACACAGAACCCGTATCGTACAGATTCACTCAAAAACAGAACCCGTATCGTACAGACTCCTCAAACACAGAACCCGTATCGTACAGATTCACTCAAAAACAGAACCCGTATCGTACAGACTCCTCAAACAC